GCGTGGCTCCGGCGGGGGGCGGGGCCGCGAGCTCGCCCCGCCCCCCGCCGCCAGGTCCTGCTGGAGCTGCTGCCTCGCCTCCTGGGCTCCCGTGCGCCGCCCGAGCCCCCCCGGGCCGCCTCGCCGCCCCGGCGCGCGTCGTCGGTGGGCCTGCTGCTCCGCGCCGAGGAGCTGATCCTGAAAAAGCCGCGGAGCGAGCTCGTGTTTGAGGGGCAGAGGCACCGGCATGGGCCCTGGACCGGTGAGCGGGGAGGACTCCGGGCGGGTCGGCGCGGGCGCCCGCGGCGGGGCGGGCTTCCCAGTGACCACCACCCCCCTCCCCGCCCGGGCGTCCCCACCAGCCGCCCTCTGCCAGAGCCTGGGCGCCGCCGCCCCCGAGGTCCGCTGCTGCGTGGACGCCGTGAACTTCGTGGCCGAGAGCACGCGGGACCAGGAGGCCTCCGGCGAGGTGCGGCAGGCACGGGAGGGCGGGGCGGGTGCTGGCTCGGGGGAGGCCCCTTCCCGGCCCCAGCCGGTGCCTGCTCCCTCCCCAGGAGGTGTCCGACTGGGTGCGCATGGGGAAGGCCCTCGACCACGTCTGCTTCTGGGCCGCCCTGGTGCTCTTCGGCGTGGGGTCCAGCCTCATCTTTCTGGGGGGCTACTTCAATCAAGTGCCCGAGCTGCCCTACCCGCCGTGTATGTAGACGGCTCTTCCACCGCCTCCGGGAGGAAACCGGGAGTGAAAAAAACCAAGTTGCGGTCGCTGCCGTAGTGGGATTCTTTCCCAATGCCGATAATAAACCCGGGCCTTTCCGTCTCCAGAGGAGTCGTGTGCGCACACGCGTGGGTCTGGCCACCGGGCAGGGGGCAGAAGCAGAGGGCAGACGGTTCAGGCAGGCTCTTGGGTGCCAGTCCGGAAACGGCTGCCCGCCCCTCCGCTCAGCCTTGCTGACCTCCCAGCTCTTCTGAGGCCCTCGTCCCGCGTTACCCTCCAGCCCTGTGAGCTTCTGAGCGCTCTTTGTCCCTTGATTAACCAAAAGCAAAGACGCCCCTTGGCAGGACTTGACGGAAGCCCGGCCCTTCCCTGTTGGAGTGGGCAGGGGCCACAGGCTCTCAGCAAAGGTTTCCGCGGGGGGGGGCCGGCCCCCCGCCACAGGGTAAGGCCGAGGGTGCCCTGGGGCACCCTCAGTCACTTCTGATTTACCCAGCATGGCCCCCCTGACCGCTTCCACCAAAACCCACTCATGCAGCTTCTGCCCCGCCCCGTCTGCCCCCTCTCCCCCACCTCTGCTGACTCATCCTGGCTGGGGTCCAGGACCCGGAGAGAAAACGGAAATAAAAGGGGGCCCGAGATGGTGGGAGCTGGTTGAATTGTCTTTATTAACAAACGGAATATCCAAGGCCACTACATTGAGAGGGGGCGGGGCTACTTGCTGCTCACACTATATACAGAGGCAAGCAAGGGGGTGCAGAGGGGGTGAGAGCTCCCTGCTCCCTCCCGCCACCAGGGAAGGACAGAGGCTAGAAAGAAATGGGGTCGGAAAGGGGGAAATGTTTTGGCTGGCGGGGTCCCCCCTCCATTCCCTGGGGGTTGGGGGGAGGGGAATCATTAAAGTGCTTTCAGAAAATGAGGAAATGGTCCCTGCCCCTGGAGTGGCTGGTGACCCCCCCCCCCAAAACCTAGGGCCCAGCGACCCCCCCCAGGGTCTGGTACATTCAAGGGGGGAGCCGGCTCCCCTGACGTGCAAATGAAGGGGCCCAGGGCCCTGCCCAGTCAGCAGCAGTGGGGGACCGGGCCTGAGCCCCCCCCCCCCCAGCGCTCTCCTCTGAGATGGAGAAAAGGGGGGTGGGGCTAGGCCCACTCACTTCCTGGTGAGGGGAAGCTGTGCCTCTCCCCAGAAGCTGGGACAGGCACAGGTTTTGGGGGAGAACCTATCGGGGAAAGAGGATGGTCACGTGATCACAAAAGCATCAGGGGTCAGAGGTCACGTTCCCAGCAGGCTCCAGTGAATCAAACCAGTAAAAAGCAAAAGCCCAGGGAGGGGAAAGAGGGGCGGCCTGGGGAGTCTGGCTGTGGTGGGGAGAGCTGGGTCCACTGGGGCAGCCCCAGCCCGGGCCCCGTCACCAGTTCATGATGCAGTTCCGATTCAGGGTCATGAAGTAAACCTGGCTGCTGCCCCCGGAGCGGACAGAGGCAAAGAACACCTGGGTGGGGTAGGAAGGGGGGGGGGGGGGGTGTGTCTCAGCCAGGAGACAGAGCCAGAGAGAAGCTGCTGCGAGTAGCCTCTCAGAGAGCCCCGCGCCCTCCCCTCGAAAGGCAGAGGTGCTTGGTGATGGGGGCGGGGAGGGGGGGCAGCCGCAGGCCTCCTGGGTGTCCAGGGCGCTCTCAGGGACGGAGGGCGAGGAAGGGCGGGCTGTGACGCAGGCTATGCCCCCTGGACCCCGTCTCACGAAGATCCCCCCGCCCCCCCCCCCCGCCCCCCCCCCCCCCCCCTCCGGCTCCGGGGCCGGAGGGCAAAGGGCCTCCCACCTTGTCGTTCCGCTCACACAGGAACTTAAGCCTCTGGGCTCGTTTGTGCATGAAGACGCCGTCCAGGTGGCCCGTCTCCACGGAGCGGATCTCAATGGCTTTCTCGCCCCAGCCCATGATCTGGTTGGAGCAGATGTAGGCTGGGGGAGAAGGGGGTCGGGCGGCAGTGAGTGGGCCACGGCCCGCCGCCCACCCCGGGGCAGCCTGGGGGCGGGGCCCACTCACCCACAGAGGTGGGCATCTCTCCCCACTGCAGCACCACGTCCTTGATGATGCGCCCGTACGTGTTCACGTACACGCCCTCGTCCTCGTAGCACAGGAGCATCTCCATGCCGTCCGTGTTGGGGAGGAAGATGATGGCGTGGGGCGTGATCTGGCTCTGGATCTGGGGACGAGAGCATGCGATGCACGCGTGTCCAGAGCCCGGGGTGGCGGTCGCGCTCCTCCCGAAGCCCCGCCAAACTTACATGCACGGGGATGTAGATGTCGTAGCTGTTCCCCGAGTCGACATCCACAGCGTGGAAACCGGCACTGGAGCCGTAGATGACCTTGAGCCGCTGACCCTCCTCCACGGTCAGGTCGACCAGCAGAGGGCGGTGAGGGAGGTCGGCAAAGGACTGTGGAGGAGAGAAGGGCTCAGGGATGCGGCCAGGGTGCCGGGCCGGCGGAGGGGCTGCGGTGGGGACTACCTTGAAGGCCATGAACTTGTGGTAGGGCTTGGGGGCCCAGGCATACACCTCCACGGAGCTCTTCAGGGCGATGACCAGGAACTTAATGCGCTCGTATTTCACTGGGGGCAGGGAAGAGGAGTCCCACGGGTCGGTCACCAGACCCCAAACCCAGTCGCCCAGCCTCTGGCTTCGAGGCTCAGCCACTAAGCTCAGGGCCCCCTTTCCGTCTTCTCGTAAAGCAACGCGCCCTGGCCACCGCGTTGAGCCCTCCTCACCCACGCGGTAGTGCCCGCAGCCCTCCATGTCGCCCACAGTGGTCCAGCCCTGCTTCTTCTCCACTTCCGGATCGTTGTGCAGAATCTTGTTCCGGAGCCAGGACAGGTAATACACCCGCAGTTTGTTCCTTTTCCCTGAAGGGAGGACACACACCCCGTCACCCGAGGTCTAGCATCCACCTCTGCGCCTTCCCCTGCCCACCCCCCCCCCCCCCCCCCCCCAACGGGCTGAGCAACCGCGGCCCCGCCTCCAGGCCCTCCTCCCAGGCTGCAGGCGGCCGCCGGGCAGCCCAGAGCGGAGCCCTCCCCCCGCCCCCCTCCCCACACCTGAGATGGTGATGAGCAAGTTGAGCCCCTCTAGCACGTCCATTTGCTGGAAGCGCCGCCGCCCGATGAGCCCGTACACCTTGCCCTGCCCGCTTCGGTCCAGCAGCATCAGACCGTTCTCGGTGCCCACCAGCAGGTTGACGCCTGCAACGGGAGCCCTTGGGCAGATGAGAGGCAGCCAGGCCCTCACCCGACCGGGAGCCCCGGGGTGCGCCGGACCCCTCTTTTCCTTCCCGGCCCTGGCTTACCCCAAAGGGCCGCACAGAGGATCTCGGAATTGAATCGCTTCTTGTATTTCCGGATCTCGGGGGTCTCGCTGTGGGCCCGGGTGTTGGTGGGGTTCACGTTGACCACGGAGCCTTTCCGCACGTCGTACTGGAGCTGATCGAGCCGACCGCCCTCTCCCCCGACCAGGGCTGCCGGGAAGAGGAGAAGGGGGAGGGGAGGAGGGCTGTAGCCCCCTCCCCTGTCCCTCCTGAACCCAGCCCTACATCTGGTGGAGGCCCCTGCGAATGAACGAACGAACGAACGAACGAACGAACGCTCAGCAGGAAAGGGGAGGGAGGAGAAGGAGCAAATGGCCTCAAACAATCCGTATCCGGTCAGGTGCCGGGGCCACTCTGAGCATTTTTCCTCGCGGCTCTAAGGGGCCTTAGGCGCCCTTGCTGCCTCTGTGCCAGGGTAGGGGCGTCGGGCCAAAGCGGAGGCCACCACTGCCTCCTAAAGCTGCGCCATCAGCGGCCCACCTGTGCCCTTCACCAGGCCTCACGGCAAGTCTGTCCTCCCGTCCTCACCTGTGATGGGGATGGTATCCCCACTGCCTCCGGGCTGGTAGATCCCTAGGTCCACAAACATCGTGAACGAGCTCTTGCCAGGGGCCTTTACCAGCCCACGAGACTGGTACTGTGGGGGTGGGGCAGCAGTCAGGCAAACACCGGACACCCGGCCCCTGGGCCCCCCCAGCCCCGCCCCCACCCCCAGGTTGCCGAGCTCCGCCCCACCCCCTGCAGTGGCCCCCAGCGCCCCTACCCACTGCCCCCTGGGTCTGCACCCGCCCACTTACGTCGCCGCCTCCCTCCTTGGATGGGGGGCTTTGACCTTTGCCGCTCTCGGTGGGCGAGTGGCTGGGCTGGACCACATCGGGCAGGTTTGTGTAGCCGTTGCTGTCCGCGTGCAGCAGGCCGCGCTCCTCCTCAGGAGTCTGCAGGGACAGAGGGAAGGGAGCCAGTGCCCGGCCGAGGACGGGGGAGAGCAGGTGGCGGGGAGGAGGGGGGCCCACTCACGCGCTGGACCACCATGGTGCCGCCCCCATAGGGGGTCTGGGTCCCCGCGATCTCCTCCACGTCATGGACCACCATGGTGCTGACGCTGTCTGTGTCTCCGTCGCTGCCACAGGAGAAAGAACGGCCGTCGGTCCCCAGGTCCTGCCTGCCACGGGGTGGAGACGGGGGGGGGACCGGCGGGTGCTTCGCGCTGGCTCCTGGTGGACGTGGCGGTGGGAGGCCGATGGGGACCCCGGAGCAGACCCCGTTGTCTAGGTCAGCAGTGACGGCCAGGGTCCCCTAGGAAAAGGAGAACCCTGCCCTCCCCCAGAGCGCCCCCATACCGGGCCCCAGGGGTATCTCTGCTCCCCTCTGATGGCTCGCCATTGCTTTCTTCCTCGTCCTCGCTGCTTTCCACCTCCTCGCTGGAAGACGAGTAGTCCATGGCCTTCTTGGGAGGCCGCGGGGCCTCGTCCAGGGCCCGCTCCTTCAGGAGCACGAAGTCCTGTAGAGGGTGCCGCGTGAGGAGGGGAGGGGGGGGGTTACAGGGGGTGCCGGAGGGGAGGGGCTCCCGAGCAGGCCTTCTCACTAACCTCGCCGATGGCACGCTTATAGCTCTGGGAGGGGCGGCGGGGGGAGAAGGACAGCCAGGAGGAAGCAGGAGAGAGGTGAAGAAAGGTCAGTAGCTGAGAAGTGCAGCCCGCAGCCCCTTGGCACGAGGGTTAAGGGAGGCCCCACCCCCGCACCTGGCTCC